AATATAAAAAATAATAAAATAAATTTTAAAAAAATAATTTAAAATTTTTTAAATATTTTTTTTTAAATTACCTTTTTCGACCTGCAATTGCTTCTGTACTAAGTGTTTGATTAGGTTTCATTCAAAAAAAAAGTCCCGTTTCGTCAGAATTATAAATATCATCATAACTATATTCATTTAAAATCATATGTAACTTTGTACATTCTTCCAGAAGAGTATTAAGTGGTGCACTATTAACTTCGCCTGAAAAATTAAATTTTTGTAACTCATTTCTTAATTTGAATTTATATATCCAACCATTTGCACATTTTAATTTATCTTCTATATTTAATATTCTAACAAACTCTAACCCTTTTTCTTTCAATATCATGTCAGATATAGGAAGTCCTGCTGCTACTACTTGAAATGTTCAAATTTGCATTGCTTTATCTAGTTCAGGAAACTGAACAGAGTGTTGACGAAATGTTTGTGAGGTTTGTGAATTAGAAAGTATTGCTAACCATTTTTGCCTATCTTTCCATATTTTACTAATAGTTACTTTCTTAATATTTAATCCAGTATATTTAGTATTAAAAAACAATGAAACTGCCATTTAATTTATGTCAGGATTTGCCAACATATATTCACATATTTCTTTTTTTATTTCGATACTAACAGCAGTACGTTTTCATATTGTATTTTGTGTATTTTGGGGATGGATGGATAATTTGGATAATCTCAGCATTTTATTATTTATCTACTGCGCAAACTGCACACGAACTATAGATTTATAGGTTTCACATGTTCATCCTGATGTTACATAAAAATCCTGTGATTATACGGAGGGAAATTATTATATGTTTATATAACATCTTGACTGACAATTGGTGTGATTATATTTATATATAATATCGTGACTATAAAGGAGAAATTTTATATGTAAAAAAATTGGGACCAAGTACAAGTGTGACTTAAGGAGGGAGTGATTATACAGGAGATGCCTTTAGGGGAGGTCGACTATAATTGAATAAAAAAAAATAAAGTAATCGAGATGATCATGACAATGTGATGACGATGAACAGACAAAAAAATAAAATGATCAAAATAATGATGGAATGAATGAATGAATAAAAATAAAAAATAAAAAAAGGAATAAAAAAAAAAGAATAAAAAAATAAATAAATAATTGAGGTGATGAAGAACGGAAATGGATAGATGAAGAATGGAAATGGATCGATGATCAAAATAATGGTGATGATGTGATAACGATGAGGTGATACATTACTGATATATGTGATTATGCTTGTATATGTCTATATAATCTGGAATATTTTTATGCATATGTATGTTATGCGTATGCTTATAACCTATATGGCCCAACTCTGGCACAAAAATTTATGCATTTAGGCAAGTTATGCTTATATGCAGTATGCTTTTATACAGGTTCAAGTGTACTAGGTAATTATAAAAACAAAAGAAAATTACATATTATGTAAAAAAGAAGACTTATATAATTAAAATTGAGAGAATTTTGAATAGTTAAATGGATAAAAATTTTAAAATATTAATTATTCACTTAATTTTGATGATATAAATTTGTTCTTTTTATATAGTATACAACTCATTTTTGTATTTATTATTACTTAGTATTATTTTTGATTTGCACTGTTGCATGTCCAATGTGACTAAAACTCCCCATAGGCCGAGCCCGGTTGAGCCCTATAGGGCTCGAGCCCGGTCAAGCCCAAAAAACTTGGGCTTGGCTCGAGCCTAAATTTAAAAGTTGAGCTCAGGCCAAGCCGAGCCCATATAATTTGAGCTTGGCTTGGCTCTCGAGCCTGTATGGGCTCACGAGCCTTGATATGGGCTCGCGAGCCTTGATATAAGCTCATGAGCTTTAATATGAATTCACAACTCCTCATGTAAACTTACAAAAAAATATTATTTCAATAATAATATTTATTAAATTGTGTAGAGCGATTTTCTA